CCTACATATTTTTTTATTTATTTTTTCTTACGATTAAATATCAACGATTTTGCTTTTTTTTTATATATACATATACTGAGAAAAAATGTTCTGGATTTTAGTAAATATTAGTTTGCACATCACATCTGTAACGCCATTTATTAAAATAAAGAAACAATATTTTTTTATTAGTATATTTTCTTCTTATTGTTAGTGAATACACATATAATACTAATAAAAAAGAAAATTTTCTTTATTTTAGTAAATTGAGTTACAGTTGTATGCAAACTAATATTTACTAAAATCCAGAACATTTTTAAATAATATATATACATATATGCAACAAATTTCTTTTTTTTTTTTATTTAAATATACAAATATTGAAGATTATATATGTATAATATATAAAAAGATAGCCCACTGTTTTAAAACTTATTAGAACTAGTTTTTTAAAATTAGTCAAAATTAGAACCAGGTTATTTTTCATTTTAAAAAGCATATATATGCATATATATGGAATATTCCTCAGTATGTATTTTTTGTTTTACCTCTAAAAAAAACAAGATTATATTTCAATTAAAAATTTTTACGGAAAACAACTAAAATATTATACGGAAAAAAATTAAAATATTTTAGCTTAACCAATGTAAAATTTTTAGAATCTTGCATCAAAATTGACAGAAAAAAATTGCAAAGATATCTTAAATTAGATCAAGTCTCCTTTTAATAGCTAAATAAATATCAATGTATATATAAGTTCTTTCTTTTTAAAAATATTCAAAAATTATTTCAATATTTATTATATTGTCAAAACCAATTTTCCTGTAAAATTAATTTTCCCGTAAGATTAAGTAATTTAATCCACAATTATCTATAAATTGAAGACTCAACGATTCATCAAGCGTCATCAGACCGCTCCGAAACACTCGAGCTGCCCCAAGAGAAAAAACAAGAAAGTCGAGGGGAGAAGAGAGATAGGTTAAAAGAGTTTCGGCCCCGTCGTGAAGTCCAAGAAATATAACTGGACATTACTCAGCCTCGAGTTTCTTATTATACCGGGGCTGTTTCTAAGGACTCGAGGTACTAGCTTGGTCTAGAACCACGTACTTCAAGCTCGACGACGTAGCTCTTGACAAACCTTAAATTTCATGCGAGAATTTATCGCGTCGTCAAACGAGAGAAAGGCTTATCATTTCATCGTATACATTTTGTTTGCGTAAAATTCAGGATCGTATCGCAACATCCTTTTACAAATCCACTGTTGATCACTTTGGCGACGGTCCGACAGTTTTTATTCCGTTTTAAGTAAAAGCTTTGGCAAATTTGCGGTGTGTAAAATCGAAGCGGCATTCACCGTACTCCTCGAAGCGAAATCAAGATCTGGCCGCTGTCCAGTCGTCGAAGACTCAGTCGCATTGATTTCGTTAAAAACACAAAATTGTGACTGGTCGATACACGGTGTACTCGAAATCGTTTTATAATTTTCTGAGGAAAGGATTGGGCAAATCAGATTTCCTGACGCTTCTTCGCAGCCGCTAGAAGCTTTTTATTTCTCATTATGCAGACTCGCTTCCGTTATAAGATTCCACTTTACATTCCTTTAACTCGGCCCATTCGTAGCGATTTTTCTAATGGGATAAGGAAATAAGTAATCAGATGAAGTAGGTAAATCTGAATTTTTATTCGCTGGGCGGGACACTTTATTTCTCGATTTATTCAAGAAATTAGACGGTCCGTTGGCTAGTTTAAAATTCCCTTCGTGTATTTTTTCAAGAAAATTTCTTACAGATTACATCTAAGCTCTCTAATCTTCATATTCCTCACATTTTTTGGAAAGAATGTGCGTCGAAATAATATTGGTTGATTTTCATTCTATGTGATAGACTTTAATGACACACTATTCTAAATGTAGAATAATACAGAGAAATATGTAAAACACATGACTGAATGTAGACTTTCGATTACATCTCCGTTTATATCTCAATTTGTCGCGCGTCCGTGCGTCACGGGAAATATTAAGTAAAACCTTTGATAGATTTTTAACAGTAATTATTCGTAAATGAGAAAGTACACGCTATCTAGATATTAACTATAAACTGTAACAAGTTCGTCGCTATTGCGAGATTAATGAAGTTGGAAATAGATTATCGGTAATCTAGCGAAACTTTGTTAGTTGCGCACGAACTTTCTCACAATTAACGCATTTAGGTGCCATTATTCTGTAATTAATTTTTAACACACTGGATAATCTTAAACATAAAAATATGTTTAGTCAGTTAATAACAATTAAAATAGATAATAGTAATAGAGTATGATTTAGTACACAATAAAACTCGATAATATAACTGGTTTCCTTTTGATATAAAATCTGAAAAGAATTTTAACAGTGACAAAAAACTTGTGCATAAAGAATCAGCAAAATTTGTTAAAATATTTTATTTTATTATTGATTTTCTCGCTTTTATATTTTTTAATTCAAAAGGCCTAAGAACTAACTACAGAATGACCTTCAGATGCTCGAATCGATACCTGATGTTGGATTCTGCTGTAGGTATACGTATATTCGTGATCATAAAAAGAATTATAAAGATCCGATTATGCATCATTAAATTATCAACAAATGAAATATTAGGAAACGTATGTGATTTTTTATCTTTAGAGACAATATGCCGACAATATATACAGATTCTAGTATCTGTATTCTATTAAATAGTGAATGTTAAATAATGTTTTTATGTAGCACAATAAAATTATTTTGTATAATAAAAATTAAATTAGATTTGTTATCCAAAATTTACCTTAGTTCGGTAAGTTCTTGTTCAGTCGGGGTGTATTTACCAACCACTGGAAAGCTTAAATGCTTATGATACAAAACGCGAATGTTTATCTATGTTAGTAGTTTCGGAAAATGAAAAGTTTGACTCTTTTCCTTGGTCAGGGCCTTGTTCTATAAGAAAACTGCGAATAGAATTATTCAGCGGAAACCATGATCCTGGATCATTTTTATCAAGAGAGGCGGATGTATTATCTGGTTGCAAAGCTTTGGGGATTTCAGGACTTCCGTCTTGCGAAATAGAATCGTTTAAATCTAAATTAGTTGTATCTAAAGGTTTGGTCTCGTTTGTTTGATCATGATGTGATGTGGTAGGTTCTGGTTCTTGACATATTTCATCTACTATATCGCCAGTTTTTATATTACCCATGCGAGAGTTGCTTAATATACCTTTATGTTATTCAAGAGTGAGATAAAATATATTGATATATTATACGAGCAGTAACAATATTAGTGGCAAACTGTCATGACGCTGGTGGTGGCACGGTAAACCTATGTCATAGATTTCGCGGAGAAATCAAGATCTGACTACCCGGCGGTGCACTACTATGAGATTAAGCTCTCGGGGGGTTCATCTTCAAAGTCCATGAAGAGGAACCGTACTTTTCTATATATGTAAGATGGTGATGACCTCTTCGACTCGTTTGCTCTCTCGTCGGTTTCTTTTTATTTCTTAACCACTTTGGTGAAGTCGTCGATATCGTTCGCATTGATTCGGCTTTCCTACTTGGCATCGCCCGATCCACTCGAGTGTCCTTTGAATTTAAACTCAGTCGCGAGTTTCGCGTAATGAAGAAAATATGATTAGACTTTTGCGCACCGAGTCGCCTCAGCAAGCGTTCAAATTATCGTTATGACGGAGGACGTGACAAGAAAGAAGATGCCCTTTCTATCCAATATGTTTCTTATACTATCGTAATTACGCTAGTAATTTACATCTAGAATCGAAACTACATATTCAGTTAAGAGGAATAAAAAACGTGAAGTTTATATATGTATATATATTTTTTTCATAGTAATACGCCAGATTATACAATAAGTATTTTTTATATAATATTTCTTTACTGAATTACTTTTTTCTTAAATTAGCAAAACGATCTACGAATACGATGGACAACATTTTATTGTGGAATCATAGATATGTATATCTAACATATAATTGAATTCAAATATTTAGCTGTGCGAAATAGACTTATATGCTCATACAATAATTTCTTCTAACGATTTTTCCTTGTAGTCTGTTTGTAATGTCATGCACGAATACTTGCGTGTCAAAGTTTCGAAACATTATTTGAACAGATGTTTCCTCTCGCGACTATACTATTCCAAGGGCATCGCTCTATGATCCTCTTATGCTTCAAATTTAGAGCACGCGTGCGGTAGTAAATTGCTAGGTAGTAAATTGCTATTCCCAAGAATATGCGGACTTATGTGATTCTCCATTCGCGAACCGCTCTGTGCATGCAGATCGTATCATAATTATACAAAACATTTTAACTGTTTAACTTCTTTAAATTCAAGACAAATATATTTAATCTCTAATCTACTTTGCCAATTTTAACAATAACTAAAATACTTATTCATGAAAAGTCTGTGGCCGGTATTCATAGTCGGTTCTTATATTTAAAACCGTCTTAAATACGATTTTAAGATGTTATGAACCAATCACAGAGCCGTATTAGCATCTTAAGATATTACTTAAGACGGTCTTGAAATCGAAATGAGATCTGACTATGAATACCGGCCTATGTTTCTTATTCAAAAAGTCACAAAATACATCGTAACTTCGTACATTATTCACGTGGATGTTGAAAGTTGAAAGTAAGAAACAAATAGACTTTTATGAGTAGATTACATGTAAGAGAAAATTATAAAATGTAACTTTTGCTATGTATGTGCTCGCGTATTCTATTATATAATAGTATCGCAAAATTAGAATTGATAAAATCAATTACAGATTAGCAGAAATCTATTTTTAGAGAATTATTAAAAATAAATTGACCGCCTATCTTTAGAAGTATAATTTGTTAAATCATAATATATGTGTGTTCATTGAATTAGAACTGTATTTCTTTTTTATGTTTTATCTTTTTGTATAGTTAATATACATATAGAATATTAAAATGTTAATTATTTCTAATTAATTTATTGCAGAATATTAATAAATAATACAATTTAACATTAAAAGTACTTATATTATAACTTCTAATGCACTGTAAAGAATAGAATAATAATCTATTGTAATTTATGTTATCAATTATCATAAAAGACTGTTATCATATACGAGATATGGAGAATCTCGCATTTCGAGCTCGTAATATGAGATCGTTTGTTATTTCAACGTCATTTACGTTGCTGACGGTTGTTGTAAATCGAAATCGTCGCAACAAATTTACGATTATCGTCGCCGCGGATAAGTACGTATATCTTTGACCTAAAAATGGAAAATGTAAAGAAAAATGTAAAGTGTGGAACAAATAAAGAATTAATCACACAATCGATAACTAATACAATGTCTTAATATTTAACGAAATATATTGAATGTGGATATTCTATGGTAAACTTTTACGACTTGTTTTATTTAAAATAATGCAAAAATCTTGGAATATATTACGAGTTTCTCGAAAGAAAGCAAAGCTCATGAACTTTAATGGAAATTGAGTATGTAAGGCGACACAATAGAAAGATAATTTAACAAAATTATCCCAAACAACTACATAGTTTTTTAAATAAATAACTTATATTATGGAATATTTACCTAAACAATCTCTGAGGCCCGTACCAAACGGAATATACGTATAACGAACACGGCTGGACGAATTTTCAGGCGAAAATCGTTCAGGAATGAATTCCAATGGCTTATACCAATACGCAGGGTTACGATGAATAGCAAATACTGGAATCATAACGTAACATCCATCCGGCAAAGTACATGATTCTGAAATGGATAAAGCTCCTTTTAGTAATTTCAAAAAAATATTACATTAATCTAATAATTCATATTAATTTTATCCATAGACTTAGTAGATAATGGGATACATAAAAATACCAAGCTTTATATCTCCTGTAAGTTGGCGCGAAATAATAGGTACTATAGGAAACAATCTAAATGTCTCTTGGTACACCATATGAAAATACCGCATGCTAAGGAGATGTTGGGCATCAATCTTGTTATTATTAAATGTGACAGATATTTCCTCTCGCAGTTTTTCCTAGGGAATCAAATGTAAAGACAATAACAAATAAACATCTAAAAAATAGTATAAGAAATTAACTTAGTGTTATTCCAAATTAATTTCAACAACAAGCTGAACAAATGATTGCTAGAAAATAATTATTCTCCTACAATTCATAATACGAATAAAATATTTTTTCATCTTACGTTGTTTTGTTTTTACTGCACAAAGCATAGATATACAATATGAAAGTATTTCCCTACATATAGTGTTCATATTATACTGTAATATTTGTAATAATTTTACTAACTTGCACTTCTGTATGCATTGCCAGCATAAGTATAATGAAAGTTGTCAGTTCCGTGATAACACTTTGAATCTGCAAGACATAAATTAATATTAATATAAATATATACTAGTGTAATATTCAGCTTTTATAGAATAAATGAAATTACAGCAGCAAAAAAACTTCTAGCATCGTCGAAGAAATTCTCGTCGCTCACTTCGCAGGATTTGCTCCTAACATTATTACGTAGTTCTTCCACACGATTCCAGTAGTTGGTAAAAATAGGTTTTGGCCTTTCAGAAATCTCATTATTATCTTGTAGAGCAGTGTGACTTATTGCCTTTCGTGTTATCTACATTAAAAAGTATGTTGCTTTTTAAAGTGGACATAAATACCAATACTGTCACTAAAATTCCTATTTGGAATATCTTATTATAAAAATACTATTAACGGTATAGAAATATCAATAATACGATGTCTCATACTAAAGTTCGCGAATTAGCGACATAGTTGAATTGTGACTTTATTTAAAATAATTCCTCTTGGAATGCTATGTGAAGAATGTCAGCGTTTCTTTTACCCCTATATTTTACTAATATTTTTCGAATTTGCTTTATTATTGCAGTTCTTATTGTTTCCATCCATATTGCTTTAACCATTATATTATCAATATTTCTCAAATATGTTTTTTTACGTTTTTTTATTATGCAAAAAAAAATTTTTTTTTTTGGAAATCTAAAAATATCACAGAAAAAAGATCTAGTGAATAAAAAGAATATTCGATCATAGTAATTTATTTGTTCAAAAGTTTCCCCCAAAACTTGTGCGCACAGTACACACTTTCGTAATGTAAGAACTATTTAATGAGCTGTAACACAAACTGAGTGTGAAATGATATGAAAAATAGAAGAGACGTTAGAATTCATGTACAACGTCCACCAAAGAGGCCACTTCGCAAAACAATCACACTCTAGCTTACCAAGTAAATATGTACTGGCGCTTATGTTCGCAAACTTTACGTGATCATATGGGTACTAATTGTAAGTATATATGAGAACGCATCATCTCAATGTAATGCTTATCGCATTAATGAGAGCTAAATATCTCAGAAGCATATATGTTTTGATCGTGCAAGATGTGACAATCATATTTTCTCGTATGTCATAAACTTAATGACTTATATCAAATAGTTATATAAAAGACATTTGTGTGAAATTTACATTGTAGATGAAATCTAGTATATTCTCTCGAGCGATACGCAATTGTTTTCGGCTTTCAGTCAGAGGCAAAATGGATTCCAACTGTAGCCACGGTTTTATTGTTCTGTTATGTGCATCTTTGATCAATCTGCAATAATTATTAAAATTATTAATTAACATATGAATGATAAAGATGCTACTATAAATACATACTTTTCCTGCCAATATACTATCTCGTCGTCTTCACGCTTATGTTCTGATCTTTGAATACCCAT